GCAACTATGCATAAAATGATCTATGACAATAGATATACATCATTATATCTTTACAAATGTAATCAGTTTTTATCTTGTTGTAGTAACAAAAAATGAGGCGGCCTACTTGAATATCTGGGCTACTTGTTCCTGCCATCTGAATGATTCAACAAGTTATCTGTTTTCGTGTATGTGCGTGTGTGTGTGAAAAGTTGACGACATTTCACTCTACAAGTTACAAAAGAGCCCAAACAGAGGCATCATGGTAGCTGGTAATATGCAGTGAAAAGAATATACATTATATAGATGTTGATTCATAAACTGCTAAACATCTAACTGGTAACCACTCAATATTTATCGCAAGGATCGATCAAGAGATAAGAAACGGAAACTTGTTGAAATACTTTATGCTGAGAATTCTATATTGTACCAAAAATATAAAATTGAATAAAGCCAATAAGGATTATTATTATTGGGCAGACCCAGAATATTCCTTGAAAAAAGCACAGGGGGCTCTTAAAACACTTGGAAACTTTTGAATGGAAGTGTCACAGAAACATCCAGAGAATTGTTGGGGATGTTAGATCCCTAGAACTCACTTGGTAAATGCCTTAATTTTGTAATTTTATTTTGGAAATTTAAATTTCCTTGTTTTCGCGCTCTTTTCACCTTCATGTCGTATTTCTCACTTGGGAGAATCTTAAATGCTATTGGTCCGTTGTGTATTTTTAGTACACTATTTTCGCAACGCTTCCCATGGACAGTTTTATGCTGTATATATACGTTTGATTTGTGTCTGTTTTTATTCACTCGTGCTTCTGGCTTACGGAAATATACTTTCCCGTTCCAAACTTGAACTTCTTCCTCTAGTTAGCGGGGCTGGGACCCATCAGATAGCTAGCTTACTGGTCGACGGTCACAGAACCTTTACTCCGTTCGCATACTAAGTGAACTCATAAATTTAATTCCCAATTTTAACCATCCATTGTAAATCATAGATGGACATACTCAAGGTCGCGTTAATGTCGTTCAAAAGTCGCTCATAAACTGTAGTCTCACCGTTAATCTTTCAACCATGAATTGATAACCACTGTACTTGGATACATTACTATTAAGCAATTAAGTTGTAATAGCTTAGAAGTTAAATGGTTTTAAAGATTCAAGTGACCATAGTTTCTACCTCAAAATTTGGTATTCTTACATGAATTGTTTGCTTCTTCCAGTGAAAAAATAGAAGGTACTGACATTTTATGAAAAAGTAGCCTGTTAAGTTTTAGATTGAGATCATGAACCAATTGATGTTAGACCACAATTTAAAAACTAAAAGCACTGGACGGTCATATCGCCTTAGCGTGGAACTCCTCAGCAGTAAGAATCCACGATCTTGCTCGCGGGATTCGAAACCAGGACCTTCGACCTCGCACGCGAACATTTAAACACTAGATCACTGAGCTGGCATACAACGGTGCTAATGTCTAACCAATGCGCGAAATCGCACGACCATCTTCCAATATACTGAGGTAAATACCTGTCTCTACTTGACATGGATTAGCTCCATTGGTCAAGGCTTCTCACTAGGACTCCGAGAATTCCCTCAAGAATCTAGTCACTAGTGAGCACATAGTAATTATCAGTATGGCGTTGTGGAAAATATTAAGTTTTTGATTGAGATCGTGAATCGACTGACGTTTTAAAAACAAACATTTACGTTAAATATTCAGTTCCTTCAACAGAGTCCTATTCAGTCAGATTAGGTTAGCGTTTGTGGTTAACATGACTAATTTTTCATTGGTTGCGATTTCAATTTAATTGTCCATTTCGGATTTACCACAGCTAAGTAAAATCAGAACACTATCTACAACGTATGATATCCCATGTCCGTAGGGCAAACTGTCAATTATTTACAAGAATATTCTAATAAGTCGCATCGTTTTTAAGTATATCTTGATGATAGTGTCAAAAAATACAATGGAAGTTTTATGATTAACCTGTCCGGTTTATATAACTCAACATTTAATAATTATCTTGATATCCTGCTATGTTTGAAGACATTATGTGTTCACCTAATCTGAGAACGGAACAAAGATTCTGTAACACAATGACCAATAAGCTAGCTATTCCAATGCGTCCTAGCCCCGTTAACTAAAGAGAGAAGTCCAACTTCAAAAGAGAGAAATATATTCCACACTCAACCAGAAACACGAACAATAACAACAAGCAAAAATCAAGCATATATATAGCATAAAAATGCCTTTGGGAAGCACTACGAAATAGCGTACTAAAAGATACAACGAACCAATAGCGTTTAAGATCCTCCCAAGTGGGAAATACGACATAAAGGTGAAAATAAGCGCTTTTGAGGCAAAAATTCAAATTCTTAAAAGAAAATTTTGAAAAATAAAGGATTTACCAAGTTAGTTCTGGAGATCTAACTGTTGAGGACGTTAGATCCCCAGAACTCACTTGGAAAAAGTCCTAATTTTGTAATCTTATTCTAAAAATTTGAATTTCATGTTTTCGTGCCAAGAGACGCTTAGTTGACCTACAGCTTACATTTCCCATTCGGAAATCCTTGACTGTCATTGGTTGACTGATTTTCTTTGTAAGCTATTTTGTGGCTCTCCCAAGGGCGTTTCTATCATTGTATAAGTATCCTTGATTTGTGTGCTTAGTGACCTCATATTCTCTGGGTGCTTGCAGAATACATTCTCTACGCCTGATGAAGACTTCTTGATCTAGTTAGCAGGCCCGGAAACACCGTATCTTTGACCTTCGTTCCGTTTATCGAGTAAGATGAACTCGTAATAGCATCCAAGCATTTAACTAACATCCCCTACTAATTATCTTGATATCCATACTGAATTGAGTATGATTCTCATTAATTCATCATTCCTAAAGAAGTAGAATGTATATAGTATAGTTAATTTCGGATAAATAAAACGAAAACCCTTAACATTCTTAATATTATATAACAACGTTCTTTTGTGTATCTTATTCCTCTTCAGATATCATAAACAAATATATACTTGATACAGCTCTATTACATTATTATTATTATTATTATTATTATTATTACTACTTCTAAACACTTTTAACCACAGGTTAATTCAATCACTTGAAATTTAATGCACCGCTTCATCTTCATCATAAATTGTTCAATATAAGATGGTTTAAACAAACAAAATTAAGTATCACTTACTTGTTATGATAGAACTATCAATTGAAATTAATTTTCTGTTAAATACTTCACTTAGAAACTTTAAAACAATCCATAATTATTCATGCTGTGATAAAAAATTTTTTCGTTATTTTAAACAAATAAAGATGCTAAGATGGATAGTGGCTAGCAATGGAATCCAGGATGTGCGTTTCATCCTATTTGGAACTCGTCAGCTGGATGTGCCAGCATCTGAGTTAATGTTCACTTTGAAACTTGAACTCCGTACTGTTCGCTTCAAACGCCATCATATTATCCAGTTAGCTAGTGAGTCATGATAGCCGCCTGTTTGGTGTTGTTTACTTAGATCTTCCCATTGATGTATAGGATTGCAATTGGTCAGTCTCTTATTGGCATATGTGCATACTGTGTGTATTGGCTCGATATCTAGACTAGTGGCCACATTGCAACTTAGTCGATAGCATTCGATCTGCGCTAAGAAGGAGTTGACACACATGGCAATGATCACCACCCAGTGATCATTCAATTGTGATTAAGTTTCATTAAAATTTATTTCACAAAAAAAGGAAAAAAAACTTAATATGAAGAATTCTTTTCCGATCATAAACTTTCATTACAATATTTTCTTTAAAATTGTTCTTCAGTAATAATTGGGAAGGAAAATTATTGATTATAAAAATGAATACCTCAGAGAAGTTACATTAGGTTAAAGTAAAATCAAAGAATATTCATAGAAATTTCCAGTTGCAAGAAGAAAAACTCAATAAATATCAAGAAAATGGTCATATTGGTAAAGGATTATGGGGATTGTTGAGTTTAGATTAATATTATATCATCATTGAAAACCTGAAAACACTTGATGTCTGTTTCGTCCTAATATTAGGACTCCTCGGCAATGGGCATCTACGATCAACAATTTCTGAAACCCTACACTGATAATTGTCATGTGCTCACTAGTTACTAGCTTCAAAATGGATTTTCTGGAATTGTAGAGAGAAGTCGCGACCAGTGGAGTTAAACTGTGTCTGTTTTAGAGGGAGTTACTCACAGAAGACAATGGTGGACGATCGCGCAATATCGTGGATTGGTTGAAGTTAGACATTTACACCGTTGAATGCTAGGTCAGTGTTCTAGAGGTTAAGCGTTCGTGTACGAGACCGAGGATTCTGGGTTCACATCTCTTTGGTGCGGGATCGTGGATGCGCACTATTGAGATGTCCCATACTGGGATGAAACGGCCATTCAGGGCTTCCAGGTTTTCAATAGTGGTCCATTCATGATATGAATAGAAAATGTTAATAATTGTAAACCAAAAATCACTGTATGTAAATTATGACAGTTTGAACTATTCTGTTTTTAATATTTTGACTGGATTTTCATTAATCTTAGTTGACATATGTGAATCCTATGAGGATTGACTCAATATAGCGATTATGTATCAAATTTAAATAGAAAAGATAGAATATAGCTAGAAGCGGAATCTAAGACCTGTGTTTCGTTTTGAAACTTGTTATCCAAATGAACATGCATCCCAGGTTTGATGTTTACTCCAACACTAGAACCCATTACATTTCATCATAAACTGCCAACTTACTATCCAATTTTTACAAGATCTGTTAAAAACACCTCAAATAAACAAACAAACGTCCCTCTATCCTGTATATTTCCCATTGTCCTAACATAAAAATCACTCCTTATTTTCATGTTTCATTCTAATCATTCACCATTATTATTTTACCAATTCAATAGAATCAATGAATATTAGATTGAAGAGTATTTCTTTTTTTTTCTCTAAAAAAGAAAGAACAAAAATGAATCAGTAAATTTTGTTTTAATCCACAATTTATTCAATTTTCAAGTAGTTTTCATCATTTCCTTTATTATTATTATTATTATTATTATTATTATTATTATTATTATTATTATTAGTAGTAGTAGTAGTAGTAGTAGTAGTAGTAGTAGTAGTAGTAGTATTTGTGTAACGTAAGAAAAATGAAATTGGGTGTGGTTCATAAAACATCAGATTTACATTGATACAAATAGAATGTTTATTAATATTATTATCCTTTTTTTGTAAAGAACATTTCTTCATAAAATCTCCTCCTACTGTACATTATCTTCAATCTTTCGATTATCTCTCTCTCTCTCTCTCTCCTGTGTAATCTTTAACTATACTTATGTACGTATGAATCAGTTTCCATAAGGATTGATGTATCCAGATTTCTTATATGATTGACAGAGAGATGATTAGTTTTTGTTGTTGGTGGTGGTGATGATGATGGTGATGGTGTTGTTGTTATTGTTGTTGTCTTAGAACTTTCTATCAAGTTGACCTCTTTCATATTTTGTCTTTTTCAATCACTCTCTCTCTCTCTCTCTCCTTATCTCTCTGTTTCAACTTGCCATTCTTTCAGGGAGATTAAATTGTTCATTCCATTAATTGTAATTGTTTCTTTCATTGTATAATGAATCAAAAAAAGGAGAAAAATTCATTGTATGTTTTAGTTTAATGATCAGATTCTATTTGACATTATTATTGAATAAATAACAATCAGTCATGTGTATATGACCTTATGGTTGAAATAGATATTGTATATATATTATAATGAATTCATTTAATTAAATTATCTTAAATAATAAATAGCCCATCATATCTACCGAAATAAACCTAATAATCAATGAATCTTAAAAGGAAAAGGGAAAAGAGAAAGATGAAAGAACATACTGGGCCAAGAATTGGAAGTAAATATGAAAAGAATGAATAACAACTGGAAAAGATTCTAGTGAATGATATATATGGTCATTTACAAGAGGTAACAGAAATTAAATATGTAAGAAAGAAATCAGTGAAAATGAATGAATACTTGGTTGACTTTTTTTTTCTTCAAGTATAATTCCCCTCCCTTAGAAGTGTTCATGTAAAAACCTTTACATATTTGGGCAGCATCATTGATGAACATGGTGGATCGGATGCAGATGTGAAGGCGCGGATCAGAAAAGCAAGAGCAACATATTTACAGCTGAAGAACATCTGGAACTCAAAACAACTGTCAACCAACACCAAGGTCAGGATTTTCAATACAAATGTCAACACAGTTCTACTGTATGGGGCAGAAACCTGGAGAACTACGAAAGACATCATCCAGAAAATACAGGTGTTTATTAACAGTTGTCTATACAAAATACTTCAGATCCATTGGCCGGACACTATTAGCAACAACGTACTGTGGGAGGGAACAAACCAGATCCCAGCGGAGGAAGAAATCAGGAAGAAGCGCTGGAAGTGGATAGGACACACATTGAGGAAAGCACCGAACTGTGTCACAAGACAAGCCCTCACATGGAATCCTCAAGGCCAAAGGAGAACAGGAAGACCAAAGAACACATTACGCCGAGAAATGCAAATAGACATGAGAAAAATGAACAACAATTGGATAGAACTAGAAAAGAAGGCCCAGGACAGAGTGGGTTGGAGAATGCTGGTCGGCGGCCTATGCTCCATTGGGAGTAACAGGCTTAAGTAAGTAAGTTAGAAGTGTTCATCTAGAATATTCAAGTTACATAACTACTATAGTAACTTTAAATTATCCAGTTAATGATATCTATTTTACTTCATAGTATAGTTGAACTTAGTCTATTATGATTTCCTATGAACTAGAAATTAGAATTTTTATCTTAAAACCAGTCATTAGTGATTACATAACTCTAATTAAGTTCATTGATTGATTAATTGTTCTTATAACAATTTAGAAAACACATTTTATTTATGTGTACAAAAACGTTCTATTATATCAGAATTGATAATGAAGCTTGTCTATTTGAAATGATTCAGTACAATGAGAGAAGAAGAAAAAGTACCTTCGAATATTAAACTATATAATGATTAGTATCAGAAGGGGTTACTCGTGGATATTATAGTAGTTTCAATAGTTGAGTTCATGAGTCAATTGAAGCTAGATCACTATGGAAAACTTGGGTTCGAATCTTGCGAGGCAATATCGTGGATGCGCACTGCTCAGGAGTCGCAAAATAGGACGAAACGACCGTTCAGTGCTTCCAGGTTTTCCATGATGGTCTAACTTCAATTGACTCATGATCTCAACTATTGAAATTATATAATGATCGTTTATAAACACTATGATCGCGTAAAAATCATAGCACCAAGGTGGCCTGCTTCAATAACTGGGCTACCTGTTCCTCCCTACCATCTAGATATTTCGACAAGTTATCTGTTTTGTTGTTTATTTTAACGCATCATTATGCCTATTTGTCTCATAACCTATTCAGGTGAGTTTGTGAAAAGATTATAAACTTCCACTGTACAAGTTGCAATAAAAAGCTCAATCAGAGATATCGTAGTTGCTGCCAATATGCTTCGAAAAAAATATAAATTATTCACATATCGATTCCTGAACTGCTAGCTTCTAGCTGACGACCGCTCAATATTTGTCATCAGGACCACCGAAGAATTAAGAAACGGAAACTTGATAAAATACTTTGTCTCAGCGAAGCGATCTCTTTTCAACGAATTTATTATCAAGCTATACAATCGTATATATCTGTAACATTAGTAACATAGTCCTCAAATTGTTTACGTTCATCTAACGACAATTCAAACAATGCGTGACTTCTTAGAGATATGTTGCGATCTAGTTCGACTTTTCGCGATTTGATAGCATTTGATAGATCGCAACATATCTCTAAGAAGTCACGCATTGTTTGAATTGTCGTTAGATGAACGTAAACAATTTGAGGACTATGTTACTAATGTTACAGATATATACGATTGTATAGCTTGATAATAAATTCGTTGAAGAGATCCCTTCGCTGAAATTTGTGTTTTAATTTTAATGTTTAAATGGGAATTATATGTCAAAATACTTTGTGTTGATAATTCTATATTGTGCCAAAATTATAATTTTGATTGGAGCCATTAATCAGTCTTCAGTAATAAGGATAGGAGTTCTATCGACCTATATTAATCCTTGCAATTTGTAAAATTGTGGAGGTCCAATCTCGTTTTGAATATATTGACAGAAGGTGATGATATTACGTATTCTGTTAGAGAATTCCAGTAATTCACTATTCGGTGCGAGAAACGAAACTCCAGACATAAACGATTTGATCTCGGTTTTTGAACTTTCTTCGAATGTCCTCTCAAATGGTCAGTCCTAGACGGAAGTAAAAGATGAGACATGGTAATACCAAGGTCATCGTTCAGTATACGATAAGCCAATATTATATCACCCCGTACTCTATGGTAAGATAACGTAAATAAGTTGAAGTGTCTCAGTCTGTCTTCATAAGACAGGCCAGATAGACCTTGTACCATCTTAGTACCTCGTCGTTGAACTTTGTCCAGCATCTCTGCCTCATAATTGAAACAAGGACTCGCTGCTTGAATCCCATATTCTAAATGTGGTCGCACATAAATCGGGTATAATAATCTAAACATTTCATCATCTAAATACTGGAAAGACCTACGAATAGACCATGATACCCTATAGCCTTTCGCAGCAGCACCCTTACAGTGACTAGTAATAATAACAATAATTTAAACTAGAAGTATTAGATATTCAATCTTTCGATTACTTGGGATTTTCTTTGACAAATATGAAAGTAAATGTTCGTTTGTACAAAGTATAAAACAATATAACTGTTTCGAATTTTTTTCAACAAAAAAACACTGTAAATAAACACTTAGCAACAGACTCAAATATTTACTCAGGTTTCTATGATGACTAGAAATCACTTACATGTGTATCCAGGCCATATATATATGATAATCCATCCACATGAGCATACATACATCAGGTCATAATTCTTTCTTCCGTCATTATATATATATATATATATATATATATATATATATATCTTCATCAATTTGTGTTTAGCATAGATCGATATTGTTGTGTTTTTTTCAACTAATATGTAAATAAGAGTCTAGCATTACATTAACGTCAAGATAAATCATCCATAACAATATAATTATAATGTAAAGATTATCATGGTTGAGAAGATTTGTAGCTCCGGTGGGTGATTTTGATGTAGTTTTGTTCTCTGAGCTGGATGGTTTGGTTGTGAAGCTTTCATCGTTCTTCTGAACGAAATCATCAGCACAAACTTCAAATAGAAGTGAAGTGTTCGAATTTCTCCATATATGGTTTATAGCTTGATCTCGATGTTAATTGGTTCTTGTTGATCTTAAACTTGTGCCGATCATGTCGTTCAGAAGAACAATGAAAGCTCCGCAACCAAACCATCGAGCTCAGTGAATAAAACTCCATCAAAAAAAGTGATTATCATGTAGTGTCGCCTATTATGTTAAGCCCATATACCTTATTCAAGCTTTCAGATAGCCCAATCTGTTCATTCTAGTTGAGTCACATTTTGACCTTGTTAATTATCCGCATACCAATCATGACTTTTTATATGAGCGCATATGTGTGTGTACACTTCTTATCCCATTCATCACATGTTTGTGTGACTATAAATGTTGATTAACGCTTGACTAAATAGAGTTGGCTTACCCGCCATCTCCACTGCGCGTCGTTTTGCTTCGTTCTATTCCATTCGCTTCATATACAATATATATATATATTCAAAAGTCGTTATTTGACTTATTTAATTCCGTTATTGACTAACGCAATTTAAGTTAATGATTATATACGAGGATAGGCGACATATATATTTCAATAACAATCATTCATACGATCAAATTGTAGCCAGAACTCGCGCCACTAAAGTGAAGAGCCCGTCAACAAACATCGTCCAATCTAAATGACGACAAAATAATGGGCCTCACAATCAATCATTTTTATGTAAGTATAAAACAATCTATTTACAACCGTATATAGTTTATTCTTATCATGTTTACTATAGTCTGAATACTATCATAGAACATATAAATATACTGCATATATTTAAGATAGTTATAATACTAGTTAGATTAGATCAATTAAGTTTATATGATCATTCCTAGAGGAAAGAACAGGAGCGAAAAGCGATTAGTTTTGGAAATTCGGGAACAATGAAATCTCAGACGATTGTCTGAGATTTGCAAAAAAAGAACAATCAAGTTTTAGACAAATGAAGTATTCAGATTTATATGGTGTTTGGAGGTAGTCAACAAGAAACCCTGGACCCGGGTTTCGTGCTACTTGGCACTCGTCAGCAAGGTGTACCTGTAATCTTGAGAGAACTGGTGCTACCCCGGGTCCAGGGTTTCCTGTTGACTACCTCCAACCACCATCTAATCTCAATATATAGTGCACGCAGTGTCGAGTCACCTAGACTAGTGGCCACATTGCAACATGATCGATAGCATTCGATCTGCACTAATAAGGACTAGACAAGCATGACACTGATCACTACCCAGTGATCAATCAATTGTGAAATGAAGTATTCATTCGATGGTTCTCAGATTTTAATCAAATGTTCTGTAATATTATGTTCAAATACATTCGATTGTCCTCACCTCTGTTCTCGGTCACCACAACAGTTTAAAACAACAACAAAAAGGAAGAAATAGAGCGAAAATTAAATTTTGCACATAATTTACATTTAATTTCAATAAATATTCACTTAAAATTCTATTGATAATCCATGAATTGATAAATGGTTTATTTATATATGAATATGTGTATGTATATTTTATTATTTTACATATATACAAGCGTAAATCCACATTGTTTGTATACAGTTAATGAATAAGAATGAATAAGAGATGTGTTTATTTGTAAAATTAATTCAAATTGAATATGATAATCACTGTATTCATAGTTAGTTAGTCAGTCGGTCAGTAACAACGTAGTACTTCGTACATACGTACGTACGTACATCAGTTCGAGTTGTCATACCACATTAGCACAGAGATACAATTGTCGATTAAAATCCCGTAGTGGTAGAGGTAGTAAAAGTATAAGCAGTAACCGGAAACACTAGGGTTTGAAGATGTTATTTAATGAGTGGCTGCGTACTAGAAAGAGGCTCGAAACAGTGAATGATGAACTAGTTGTCTAGCATTTTATGATCTTCTTAAATTTTGTAGTGACATATAATGATTTGTGTCTCCTATAGATTGGAAGTTTACTGATATAATATAATATAAGACATTCAGTGTGTCGTTTGTAGTTTCATATTACTGAATATGTTTAATTAGACAACCATTGAAAACCAGGAATTACTAAACAGCTATTTCGGTCTATCTATAACTCCTCCGATGATCGAACCAAGGGCCTTCAGTCTAGTTACTGGTTACCAAATGATATTGTTATTAAAAGACGTGTAGCGCTCTCTGTGAAGCCTCAAGGTCGTAGGTCTTAGGTGTCTACCGCTGAGGAGTCCAATACTAGGATAAAACGAGTGTCCATTGCTTTCTGGCCCTCAATAGTAATTCTACCAAAGTCAATCAATATTTCTGTACGGAATTAGTCACTTCCAATGGTTGAGATCATGAGTCAGTTGAAGCTAGACCACCATAGAAAACCTGGAAGCACCGGACGGCCGTTCTGTCCTACTGTGGGACTCCTCAGCAGTGCGCACCCACGGTCCCACCCCACGTGAGATTCGAGCCCAGGACCTATCGGTCCCGCGCGCGAGCGCTTAACCACTAAACCATTCAACCGACTAGCATCCAACGGTGTTAATGTCTAACTTCAACTAATCCACAAAATTGAGCGACACATCCACCATTGTCATCAGTGAGTTACTATCTCACAACAGAACTGGTTGAACTCCACTGGTCTCTGCTTCTCATTTGAATCCAGTCACTAGTTATCATATGTTGATTAATATCAGAAGGCGTTCTTTTTGTGGATATGATAGTAATTTTAATGGTCTAGCATCAACTGACTCATGATTTCAACTATTGAAATTACTATGATATCCACAAAACCCCTTCTGGAATTAGTTACCTTCTCTAAATGGTATGATTTTCAAAACGTTTGAACGTCTTATATTATATTTCATTATGATTTTTTCATTTCATAAAATCATTGAATGATAAAAACTATCTATAAAATACATTCAATACATTCTTTCTATTCCCTAACAAAAGATCACATATATATGAACGGGAATATATATAGATAGATAGATTCTTTTGAGCCTAACTAGTATACAAAAATCTATTCTATTTCACCGTCTTGGCGCCTTACTTTCTGAAATCATCAATATACATGTGAGAATGATAAATGGTTCTTTTATTAGGACACCAAAAGAAGAAAAAAAAAGAGAAACACCTGCTAGTTTGACCTATAAAACTGACAATACATGCTGAGAGTAACCATGTATATAGATATACATAATACATATTTGTAACTTATTTCTGACATAGTCAACTAATCATATTAGTTAGATTAACTGTATTTTCATACAAAATGAGAAAACAAACCAAAAAAAAAGAAACACAGAAGAGAATAAAGCCCAATGATATATAAACAAAGATTGTTCTTTTCTCTTTTTTCGGGATTTTCCCCTATTCTATAATTTGATTTAAGAAGTGTAACATGTTTCCAACATGACAGTGACCTGTTCAAACATTTAATTAACCTATTTCTTAATTGTGTAGATATTGTAATAAATATAAATAATTTTAATGGTTGATATCATGAATCCATTGAAGTTAGATCACTATGGAAAACCTAAAAGCACTGGACAGCTGTTTCTTCCTATTATGGGACTCTTCAGCAAATAATGGTAATTAATATATTTGTACTATCTCAATGAGTAGAAAAATTAGATTTGTTGACGTTTTGTAACTCAGTGTAACTCGCTTCTTCAGAGAATAAATAAACAAATCAAAATTAATCCAAGTTTAAATTGTACAAAGGAATAACGTAAGAATATTATGTGCGATCAATCAAAAAACAGATCTGAACAAGTCAATCTTATGTCATTTCGGTCAAGGTGATTTATAAATGACATGTATGTAAAATTGGTGTGTGTGTGTGTGTGCAAGATCAGGGATGAAAAGATGTGACCTTTGTGATGCGAAAGGAGAGAGTTTAATTTGTATGTACGATGAAAGTGTGAAATGTGAATGATATCAGACATAGTAACTTGGATAGATAGTCCAAGTTGGATGTATACTTTAATTCTGTGTTGTTTTAAAATTCTTTGGAGTTCTTCTGTTGTACCATGGTGAGTGTTTCTCTTTGCAGATGCAATAAATATTTAGATTTGCTTGAATTGAATAATTATGAATCTTAATTGTATATGCTCAT